ATGGGATCCATGGATGGGGGTTTGGGATGGGAATCCATGGGATGGGAACCTATGGAGAAGGAGCCATGGATGGGGATTCATGGATGGGATCCATGGATGGGGGTTTGGGGTCGGAATCCATGGGTGGGAACCTATGGAGAAGGAGCCATGGATGGGGGTTTGGGGTCGGAATCCATGGGTGGGAACCTATGGAGAAGGAGCCATGGATGGGGGTTTGGGATGGGAATCCATGGATGAAGGTTTGGGATGGGATCCATGGGTGGGAACCTATGGAGAAGGAGCCATGGATGGAATCTATGGAGAAGGAGCCATGGATGGGGGTTTGGGATGGGATCCATGGATGGGAACCTATGGAGAAGGAGCCATGGATGAGATCCATGGATGGGGGTTTGGGATGGGGATTTGGGATGGGAACCTATGGAGAAGGAGCCATGGATGGGATCCATGGATCCCATGGATCCCATTATCCCATGGATGGGGGTCTAGGATGGGATCCATGGATGGGAACCTATGGAGAAGGATCCATAGGTGGGAGATATGGGTGGGATTTGGGGATGGGAGCCATGGATGGGGGTTTGGGATGGGGATTTGGGATGGGAACCTATGGAGAAGGAGCCATGGATGGGGATCCATGGATGGGGATTCATGGATGGGATCCATGGATAGGAACCTATGGAGAAGGAGCCATGGACGGGATCCATGGGTAGGAACTTACGGAGAAGGACCCATGGGTAGGATTTGGGGATGGGATCCATGGATGGGGGTTTGGGGTGGGAATCCATGGATGGGAACCTATGGAGAAGGAGCCATGGGTGGGGGACCATTATGAGACCCATGGGTGGGAGATGTAGGTGGGATTCATGGATGGGGGTCTAGGATGGAATCCATGGGTGGGAACCTATGGAGAAGGATCCATGGGTGGGAACCTATGGAGAAGGACCCATAGGTGGGAGATGTGGGTGGAATTTGGGGATGGGATCCATGGATGGGGGTTTGGGATGGGAATCCATGGATGAGAACATACGGAGAAGGATCCATGGATGGGGGTTCATCATGAGAGCCATGGGTGGGAGATGTAGGTGGGACTCATGGATGGGATCCATGGATGGGAGTTTGGAACGGGAATCCACAGTTAAGATACGGCATCCATGGAATCTCGACATCCGCATCCGATGTCACCTCCAACCCCAATCCAGGAGATCCACGGGGTGGTGGCATCTCCATCCCCAATCCAAGGGATCCATGGGGTGGTGGCATCTCCATCCCCAATCCAGAAATTCCACAGCGTGGTGGCATCTCCATCCCCAATCCAGGACATCCATGGGGTGGTGGCCTCTCCATCCCACACCCTCCCCCATCCAATCCCACGGGATCCATGGTGACCTCTGGGATCCCAGGGCAGGAGGTGACAATCCCGGAATTCCAGGCACTCACTCTCCCATGTATCCCTTGGAGATGGAGTGGAAGGAGGCCAACTCCACCGAATCCGAGTAGGGTGGCCCCATCTCCTTCAGGACCTTCTTGAACGAGTAGAAGGCCGAGCCCTTGGCGTAGATGTTGTCCTGGTACACCTGGGCGGGATGAGACGGGACATCCCGGGATGTCACCCGCAATTCCGGGATTTTCCCGGGAATTTGGGACACATCCCCTGCCGGCCACGCCCACCTCGTCAGCCATGAGGAAAAGCTTCTCCTCGTAGGCGAACTTGATGACGTCCTCGATGCATTCCCGGCTCTGCACCTGGCCTGGGGACACCACGGGGGACGTGGGCACCCCAAAACTGGGCTCCCACTTCTGGGGTCCCCATCCAGTTTTGGGGTCCCACTTCTGAGGTCCCTGTCCAGACTTGAGGTCCCCATCCACTTCTGGGGTCCCCATCCACTTCTGGGGTCCCACTTCTGTGGTCCCTGAACAGTTTTGGGGTCCCACTTCTGGGGTCCCCGTCCAGACTTGGGGTCCCCATCCACTTCTGGGGTCCCTGAACAGTTTTGGGGTCCCAGTTCTGGGGTCCCAGTTTTGGGGTCCCAGTCCAATTTTGGGGTACCACTTCTGGGCTCCCTCTTCTGGGGTCCCCGACCACTTCTGGGGTCTCAGTTCAGTTTTGGGGTCCCCGTCCAGTTCTGGCCTCCCACTTCTGGGCTCCCAGTCCAGACTTGGGGACCCAGTTTTGGGGTCCCAGTTCAGTTTTGGGGTCCACATGCTGAGTTCCCAGTCCACCCCCCCAGGACCTCACCCCAGGTCTTCCCCTATGGAATCCATCCCACCCCAGATATCCCATCCCAAATATCCCACCCCAGATATCCCATCCCAAATATCCCATCCCAAATATCCACCCCAGATATCCCACCCCAGATATCCCATCCCAGATATCCCACCCCAAATATCCCACCCCAAATATCCACCCCAGATATCCCAC